AGAGGAGAACAGAATCAAGTTTAATGGTTAGGTTCAATGTTGACCTTTCTGGCGTACGTGTGTGTGAGTGTATTTTATCTTTGCTTTTTTTTAAAGTATATATTTGCTTTATCAGATTTGCCTTTCTTACAGTATTTTAAAAATAAAAACCACATAGTGATGCATGCCTGACATCCCAGCACTTGAGAGGCTGAGGCAGGAGGATTGATGCAAATTCAACACCAGCCTGAACTATCTAGCAGTGTCCTGTCTCAAACAGACAAACAAACAAACAAAATTTAAAAATACAACCCAAGTTCCTTTTCTCAGCAAGCTTTGAAAATTCAGCTCAAATAGACTGTTCTCGCTACACTGAAAATAAGTAGACACAAGATACAAAAATAGCATGGTGGCCACACTCCTGGGAAAGTCAGACTTTCCTGCATGCCCAAGTGTCCTGCAGCAGGGAGAGTGAGTAATGCTGTAACTGAGGCTGCAGTGACAGTATCATGTTTGCGACATGGCTTTTGTTCCTAGGAAAAATGGTGAGACAAACCCAGCCTTTACCAGAAAAACACCAGCTTGGAATCTTTTATTACAGCCTCAAAAACATAAACTATCCTTGACTTTTAAAAGGCTTCTTTTGATGTCTCTAACTAGGGAAACTCGAGGTCTGAGAAAACCCGTTTTTATCCACTTTTAATGATAGTTCTAGAGAACTTTAAATAACAAATACAGAAGAGTCCCAGTTTTGGAATTAGAAGGACAAATGGGTAACATCTCAGAGCTGCAGCAGAAAAGTCTCCTCCTCGGCAAAAGAATGATGAGGATGGGAGGAGCTGTGGGAGGCCCTGCGGGCTCCTGCTCCTGAGTCTTGGCTGCCTGCCGCTCTGTCCCCACCCGCTTGCCACTTACTGTTGGCTTTCACCAGGCTTTTCTGTTGCTCTTCATTATCTGGGGTAGACGGGGCCAGTAATTTGGCTTGGTTTGTATTTTTTAAAGAAGTAGTTTTCCCTGATCAGAGTATTTTTCTAAGCATTTGTCCTCATTGCTTATGTTGCATTGTTAGAACTTTTTAAAAATGTCAAATGCATGCTACTTACAGTGTACATATGCTCATATGGGGAGTGAGTTTGTATACATGCGTATGTACTAGAAATCTAAAGGAGGTGTGTATTTAAAATGCAGGGTCATGCAATGAGGACATGTCTCACGAAACGGTGCTGCTGAGGGTTAGCGCAAGTGCTTGACAGGTTTTGTTCAGCCTTCCTTTTCTTGCTGAAACCTTGCTTCCCTTTGCTTTCCTCTTTGCAGTGAGGGCCCTGCACTGTTAGCTTGTAGCTTCATGTGGAGGGAGCCGCGCCTTCAGAGCTGTACCTGCCTGCTTTTCTCAGGGATCGTCCTGGCTTTAGTCACCTGTCTGCCTAGCTGGGCCTTGAGGTGCCATGAGAAGGAACTATTCCTTTACGTGTCACCTACTATGTGGAGAGGTGGAAGACCAGACTGCAGTAGTCAAGAATGGGAAACAGCCTCTCTCATGGGCCATCATTCCAGCCAAGCCCCCAGGCATCTCCCTGCAAAACACACTCCCTTCCATCCGGTGGGGAGGAGCCTGGTACAGGCGTGGTGTGTTGGTCAGCAGAGTGACCATGGTTGCCAGATAGAAACATATACATAGCACAGCTCAGCAACCAAGAGGGCCTTCTGGCCGGGTTTCACCTGTGAAAGATGTCTCCTGTGAGTGAATTTTGTGGGATTCAGTAAAGAAATTACAAGAAATTTCTCAGCAACCCCATTCCAGAACACAGAATTCAATGAAGACTATGTCTGGTACAAATGTCTCAATTTTGGTATAAAGCGAAGCTTTGCTTTTGGGTATGGATTTCCATCTTTTTAAAAGAACGTTCAGAGAATGGACCATCTCTGAGAATTGAACCCATTTTGTCTCTGTCCTTCCAGTGTGTTCCTCAATTGTGTCTCCCCACTCCGGCTTCACTGTGGCCAAGCTTATTCAGGTCATTTGCTCTAGACATCCCTTCTCTGTTCTTGGTGGTTTTACTCAGGCTTCTTTCTTTATAATCTGTTTTCTTTTTCCTTCTAAAGACTGAATTCTCCCACTGCAAACCCTGCAGCAGCCACCTCCTGAGGCACATGAGAAATCTGCGACTTGTGTCTGCCCGGGGGTCAGTGCCTGCCCTCCCTCTGATCCCTCACTCACCACAGTTACAGGAGGCTCCCACCCTCTTCTCCCTGGGTTCTGAGTTCTAGTCAGTGCCTCTGTGTCCTGTGCTCTGTCCTTCATTGTTTCTCATTGCCACATCCTCCATTCACACTGGGCTCGCATGCTGCCAGCTCCGAGCAGCGCCCTCCATGGTGTCCCGTGGCTGGCACCCTCATTCAGGTACCTGCTCTGTGTTCTGGACTCCTCTCCCTCCCTGCTTCCCAGCTCTCAGAGCCGTGCTGGCAAACCTGTGGCACCCGTGCCGGGAGGCACGCAGGGTCCTCTCTGTCCACACCCCAGCCAAGTAACCCGTAGCAGAGCGGTCGGATAGCGGTTGATTTGTTTTTTAAACTGAAACCTCGGTGTTTGGGTTTAATTGCATTGTCAGCCCTTTGCAAAAAATAAGTGAGTTTGTGGTGGTTAAGGTTTGAGCACTTGGTCTCTCAAAGGTTTGCCAGCAGTGTCCTAGAATACCACTCTATTAGATCAAGAGTTGTCTCTTTTATTTCTGTTCTAGTGCCAATAAAAAGCTGTTTGGCACATACTAGATTCTCCATAAAAACTGGTTGAGTGAGAAAAACAATAAGATTACAGGAAATTCTAGGCTTCTAAAGAACATCCTCTAGAAATCTGAAATTCACTGATCACTGTTCTCATGAAGATAAACACCTCCTATATTTTCAGTTCTGCAAAGAGAAATGAGACAAAAGCTGGCAGTGCGCAGCAGTGTGAGGGTTTCGGGGTCTGGGGGGCGCAGTCTGCAGAGTTGGCTCTCAGAGCAGCTTCTGGGATTTCTCCTTGAGAAGCAAGGTGAGCCCTGGGAGAACAGCATGGAGTTTGAAGGGCGGCTTATCCTACAATCTCCCTGTGCTCCATAGGAATCAAACTTTGTGTTAGGTGGAGACATTCATGATTGGCATTAACTAATTGGAATTGCTAATTCTCATCAATGGTTAACTAGTGAATGTGTAACCTGCCAAAATAATTGATATAGGCCATTAAATAAGGATGTGAGAAGCAAGGTCGTGGCATTTATAAATGCCGTGCTGGAACTGAGGCTGCGACGAACACCCCAACATATGGCAATAGGCCGGCACATCATGCACAATCTTGCTGTGTTTAGATCATGTTTAGGAAAGTACGTTTGAGTCTCTTGTGTCTAATAGCACACCCCAAAAACATTTTAACTTATGAGTAGCCAAAAGCTTATTATTGCTTGGGGTTTTTAAAACAACCAGGTTAATGAGATATAGCCATTAACGATCTCTATGTCTCCCTTAAAATAGCTTTACAATTTTGCATTTAGGGGATATCTTTGCATTTAGGGAATATGAGTTCATGCCTTGGAAATCTTCATATAAAAACAAGTGTCAGTTCATTTCCTCGGCTACATTGAATCTACCTGGAGAAGTGTTCCGCAAGCATTTATTACAGAAGGGCAGCGTAAGCATTTACGGAGACACACAGGTGTGTAGCTGGAGTCTAGAGCAACTCCAGGCCCTCTGAGGAACTGATCTCCACTCCTTCAACCCGATCTGCTGTTGTGTCTGCTGTTAGGACCCTCAAAGCACCCCATTAAAAATGTCCTCTACCCCACAAACAGCCCACACTTGAGCAGCCTCCCCTGTGCTGTGAGGGAATGGCTCGTTAGAGAACCTCCATCAGGGTTAATTATTGAAGACTCCTGTGTGAATATTAGAAGAGTCAGATGAAGGCCAGCACGTCTGTGTACCACCTGGGGTGTGGGTCTCCAGCGGAGCAGAAAATCCTGCTTATTCTCCGGGTGACAAAAAGAAAAGGCCTTTGATGGGATTCTTGTGGAACACAATTTGAATTTATCTCATTCTGCTCCTCTCTGCTTATTCTGTGGCACACGTAATACACCAGGTTTTATCCTAGCAATTGCAGACAAAAAGGTGTAAGACATAGTTAAGAGCCGCAAGCAATCTGTCATCTGAGCAGGAGTGACAAGCAGTAAAGGGGTAGACAAGTGCAGTGGTCTGAACATGTGAGCGCCTGGACAGCAGCATGTGGTGGGTGTGGCTGTCTACAGCGGACTCATTCTAGCCGAGGGGGGCAGGAGCGGGAGCATCTTTACAAAGATGAGAAACTTAAGCTGTCTTGAAAGATGAGTGTCTTCAGGAGCAGAATCCACATATCTAATTACAACACAGACATTAGTAAAGGCAGAGGAATGGCGGGGTCTGGCGAGATCCTCTGGGCTTGGTCCATCTTTTGTCTAGTTAGTGTGCAGGGATCAGGGATGGGTCAGCTGGTGCAGGGTCGGTGGTGAGAAAAGAGACACTTCTTCGAGGGCTGGGAGAATAGTGTCCAGCCCTGAGAGAGTGGATTTGGGGGGAGGAATCGAAAATAAGAACTTTTTACCAGTGTCCCTAGGTAGGGTGAGGATTTGAATCGCACAGATATGATTTTCTTAGTCGTGTGTTAACTGGTTTAGTACAGAAGACTAAAAGATCCAATTTTTCACTGTTGTTTATGGAAAAATGAGACGATTGTGTTCTGCAAGGGGTCAGTCAGGTTTTAGATTTGTTTCGAGGTTTCTTTCTGTAGTATTGCCTCTCAGAAATGGAACCATTGTTGTGCATTGAGACTAAAAAGTTCTTTCATACTTTAAAGGGTAAGTCCACAAGACAGTCCCAATGAATCCTTTGTTATTAGTTCAGTTGAATAAATAGGAAAAAGCTTATCAGTTGTAAAGTGTATTTTTTCTTCTAAGTTACTCAAATATAGTTTCTATAGTCTTATACTAAAGGCCCACAAAGACACAAGTAAACACAACTTTATTGCAGTACTTAAATTTATGTAAAAATCTTAATTCCATACTATTTATATGACCTTTATTATGTCGTCCCTAAGGGTATGTTTGGGGGAAAAAATGCAATGAAATTGCAAAAACTGCAGCTGTGTAGCTGCAGTGAATCTATCCAGTATATATTTTCCATGCTACTATCCCATGTGAACTGACTGTCAAATGCATATTGTTGAAGAAAAGATAGAATTCAGATCACAGAACACAATGAAAACAACCGCAGGGAAACGTGTGCGGTGTTGTTTAAAATTCAGCCTGTGTACCTCTTTTCCAGGCTATTAATAGGCTTGAGAAAAACAATATAAGCAGTTTCTCCTGACTAGAAGCAAGTTTAAGAGGGCAGACTTCCGTCAGCACCGGCTGCCCATGAGCAGAGGAGAAGGTGGATTCCAACATTTTTGTGAGAAACTGGGAAAGAGGAAGCAATTGACCCTCCCCAAGGTCCCTGATCCCAGGTTCTTGCTCTTCGGAGTTTACCAGCAGCTGCCAAGTCCCGTCCCCTGCAGCTGTCTGGTCCTCCCAGACCCCCCTTCCCGCCCAGCCTGCGTCAGCGCTGGCCGTGAGAGAGGAAGCAGCTTGGAGAAAGGATTGTTTACCACTCCGGTTTAACTTGGAGCTGTGAGGCTCACGGGAGCTGGCTGGAGCTGGAGGACTGCAGAGCTGTCTTGCGTACATTCCCGGTTCCCCAGAGAGCGGCTTGGCACGCGTTGTCACTTTGGGGTGGGGGGACGGGTGGTTATGAAAAGTCAGAGACACACTGTGAAGCAAAGAGGACCCTTCTGTGTTCTCAGACACGTCTGAGTTCCGTGTGAGTGAGATTAAATAAACAGAGTGACTAACCAAGCCCGACGCAGGCCTGATGCGTCCTAGAGATGGGACTCTAAGGAGAGCCCCGGGGATTTCCAAGGGCTGGAGACGGGAGCAGATGCACGTGACAGTCGTCACAAGTTGTTGTTGCTGTTTCCACTTTTTCCACTCACAGATCCCAGTTTACTTGAGGGTAAGAACTGACCCCCACAATGAGGAGAAAAGCCATGGATCAACTTCCTGCAAGCGGTTTTCCACCTAAGCTAAATCTCCCACAGCTTTTAAAGGGAGACGGGCTTGGAAATAAGGCCAGAGCCCCGGGCCCTGTGGGCTTGGCAGGGAAGCATGCAGAAGGAAGAGGGGACGAGTGTCTACTGCAGGCTGGGCCTCGACTTCCGCCTCATTCCGAGTCACTCCACGCAGGAGCGAAGGTGAGGTGAACGGTCAGACACACAGGCTTGAGAAACCGAAGTACAAATCAATTAAAGAGCAAAGTAAAAGGCAGCTAGTCGGAAACAGAGAAATTGATCTTTGGCAAAAGGGACAGGAACCAAGGGATGGAGAGAGCAAGGAAGGGAAGGGAAGGTGACATTAAAAGAATGACATGATGGCTCTTTGAATCCATGACCCACTGCCCCATGAGGAATGTGATTTTTACATCCTGCAAATGTGTGCCGGGAAGAATGAAACTTTAAAAAAAGAAACCCAGGATTCCCGCCTAACAGCACCTTGACGTTCTGAGATCCGCAGGAAGGAAAGGTCCTTGAGCCCCACTTGTCACGAACACTCGCTCGGCAGTCGCGCACACGTCTGAAAACAGAAGCACAGAAGCAGTGTCAGCAAATAAGATGAGATAGGAACGCACGACAGCTGGAAAGAGCAAGCAGGATTCATTTGCAAAGAGGCCTGACATTATTGGAGGGAAACTGTAAGGCACGAGCGAGTTTAGGGTTAGGTTTCTGCCAAGTGTTCGAATGTGTGCTGTTTGGTCTGAGTCTCTTCATCAAAAGAAAAGTGACTTTTCCCCATTTTATTCTGAGTTCCTAGAATGTCAGTCTTCATCGTGTTGCTTTTGTAATTTGTATGATTTTACCCTTTCATTGTCCCAAATTATAAATGGCATATACTGTATTTAATTTTAAATTTTAATTCAATTAAAGCCAACTCACTTAAGCCATTTATGTATTTGAGTCAATAAAAAAAAAATCAGTGATGCGTGTTGGATTCAGAAAATACAGGGAATAAAAATACCCAGCAGTACCCATACTGACACATGGGGAAGGATTTACATTGCCTTTGGGGTGGGGAGTGCTGGGGAAAGCTGGGCTGGAGACTCAGATCACTGTAGGAGACAGACAGAGCCTGACCAGGAAGCAGGCCTTCACTTCCCAGTCTCAGGTCTCCCTCAGGGAACTAAAGAGACCCGGGGTCCATCCTGGAGCCATCTCTTTGCTTGGAATCACTGATCCTCACTGTCTTCTGCTATTTGCTAGTGATGGCAGCCAGCTCGTGTGCCATACTTCTGGAAAACATCACCAGTGTGTCAAGATACACGAGTGACCCCAAACTCCTCCTTCTCTGGGAGCCTCTCACCTCATACTTAAGCTGACACTGCCAAGGGATGGATTTTAGCAGTGCCCTTTTCTGTTCACTGTGTCCCTGCTCAGTGGCTGTGTTGTTTATTAGCTCCGTCTGGCAGGTGAACTTGGTATCGTGGCTTCCTGTGCTTCCGCCCTTTGTCACCAGCCGTGAGGATAAATGGCAGGGAGAAGTGTTTCACTGTGTCCCACATTTTTGGTTGATAATTGATGGAATATTTTATATTTCTTGGATCCTCCCTCAGTAGATTGCCAGAAACTGCTGGATTTCACCTGTGCAATTTCTCAAAAGAAATTAACCGATGAGTTCCAAGAAGGGTTCATATTTGCTTATTATTTCTGGCTTAATAAAAGGGAAGAATAAAAAATAGCAAAGACCAGAGCATCTGTAACCCATGTAGCCGGAAATTATGACCCTGTTAGTTTGACATTTTTTTGGTGGTCAAGGCGTCTAATTACTAGGCTGTTAGAAATCTTATTTAAATACTCATTAAATGTGCTACCATTTAATAGGCTTGGCGGATCATTGTGAGTCTTAGGAAAATTATTGTTCAAGCCTTGTATTTTTCCACTGAATATCTCAGGAGCAGGAGCAGTGGACTCTGAGCAGCTGATCTCAGTGAGAGGGAAAGACTGGTGCCATGTATGCGAGAGGTCCTCAGAAACTATAATAGTTCTCGGCTGAGCCAAAGTAGTAATGCAGATTTTGGAGGGGTGTTTTTGTTTTTGTTTTGAGACAAGACTTCACCATGCAGATCAGGCTGGCCTTGAACTCACTGCATAGTCCAGTCACAATTGTAGCAGTCCTCCTGCCTCAGCCTCCTGAGTGCTGGGATTTCAGCCATCTGCCAGCAAACTAGCAAATTCTGGAAAATAAATATGGAAAAAGGATTCAAGATTGGAAAGAAGAGGCATCAAGAACTCTTGAAAATTAACTTGTACACTAAAGATGAAGTCAGTGGGAGCATATATAAATTTTATGTATCCTGGAAAATTGCAGGTACCCTCATAGTTGTAGAGAGAAGACCTTTTACCTTAATGAATACACCTTCAAACTCAAAATTGTTCATAGATCTTACTATCAAATTTGGTATTTTTGCTTTCATATGGTTAGGTTAGACTTCTGCGTACTGAATGTGGTTTTTCACGAAGCTTTCAAAGCACCATTTTGGCTCTCTCTCATTCACTTTGGACAAGAGGAAGAAAACCTATCACTGACTCCGGGGCTGAGAAGCAGGCCAGCGCTTCACAAATGCAGCTGCACATAAACTCACCTGAAATCTCCTGCCTGCAAATTGATGGAGCTGTAGGAACCTATACCTGAGCATTTCAAAGCCTGTTTTCCCCACTGCCCCTCTGCTTACATATTCTTTCATCATAGGCCGGGATACTCTTCTTCGTGGTATTTCCTATTTAAGCATGTCAAGAAAGCTGTTGTTCGGGTAGGTGAAACTCCAGATGGGGCTTAGGTGCCCCCCACTTTCCTGCTCACATGTGATACAACACTCACTGCCTTTGCATCCCACATCCAGACCATGGATGCCTTTGCTTTCTCTAAAAGAGCTCTGTTATATGGCTTAAAGCTGTGAAAGATGAGAAATGCACCTGCGTAACCCCTGGAAATACACAAGGATACAGCTAATGATGGTTAATACGAGTATCTTTGGACTTGAGGATGCTGCTCTCAATGCAGCTGGGCCATTAAGTTTCCCCTTGCACCTCTTATTTCCTATCACAGTCTGTTCCCGGGCTGCTCGCACAGTGTCCCGGATTGTTTCATGTGAGACATTCAGAAGCCGTGTTCACGATCTGACCCAGCTGCTGTGACAGCGATGGCCCCGTCCCTCCAGCTTCCTCTCTGCATGTCTTGGTGGCGACTTCCTTCGGTGCTGCCTGGTTTCCTCAAACCCACCTATCAACCTCGGTTTTGCTGTGATGTTTCCTTCCCTGTCCCAAGGCCCAAGAAGAGCAACTATTCCCATTCAAGGTGACCTTGAACCTCTGCATTGTGCTTGACTGCCTCGGTCTGTTCTGGTTTGAGCACAGAGAAGGCTGCACCCCAGTCACGTTGCCTCTCGAGCAAGCCAGGACTGGGGAGGACCTCAGCTTATATTGCAACTGGAGCAGCTTAGTGCTGTGCTGGCTGGCTGCACAGGGTCCACCCAGAGGGTGCTGAAGTCCTGGGTGTTGGACTTGCCCACGGTGGTGATAGTTTTCGATTTCCGGTATCTCCCCAAATTGAACTTGCAGACTGGCCCCAGACCTCCAGGTTTAGCAGCCTTTTACATCCGCCTCTCCCTTATGCATATGCTTATGAGCTTATGCTTTTTTTTTAGTTTGCAGCCTTCCATCTAAGGACTGCTTCTAGCTCTCCTTGGTGAAGAACGTCTGTGGAGCTGTAGTGGTCTTTCCCAAGCCAGATACTGAGATGTTCTCTGCTACCACACAGCATGAAATCAGCTTTCTGCAGCGGTCTATTATCTCCTGGCAGTCTTTTTTTAAAGGTTTACTTGTTCCTGGGTGACTCAGACTTCTCATTCTACCTGCTGGGCTTCCCGAGTGGGCCAGGTAGCAATCTGTGGGCGCCGGCAAGGTCATTCACTTTTCCTTTCCCACACTGCGTGTCTTCTCCTTGATGCTTGATGGAACTCCTTCAAACTAAAGGCCATTGACACGGGAGCGCCCATGGGGATGCAGACCTGGGAGATATGATAAAACTATCACAGGAGAATAATTTTATGGATCATTGGCCAAGTCTGGGTGAAACATGGTAACCTGGCAGGGAATGGAAGCTTGATTCATCTGAACATGGAGAGTTCTGAACCGCTGGGATGGCGTGGAGGCGGGTGGGCTTGGCAGCTGAGCACAAGGCTGGAGAGGAGATGGAAACGAGTCTGCCTGGCCTTTCTTTCCGCTATCTCAGGAGTCAGTGAGGATCAGGGAGCTGATCTGGCTCCCTCCCCTCCTCAGTAGCTTTAAAGGAGTCAGGCCAGATGCACTTTGCTCCAGCGCTGCCCTCCGGAGAGTGTGCTTAGAAGGCACCAACAGTGCAGTCCTGATATCCTCCATTTGCTTTTTCTCCCAGTGACAGCACACAGCTTCACTGAGCAGCTCACAGCCCTTGTCCCATGGATGGTTCTGGAGGCCCAGGCTCAGCAGCGTTTGGCAGGAGCTGGCTCCCCGGCCCTCAGACAGGTCCTCAGTGTGAGTTCCTCATCGTCTGGGGCTTTTGCCTTTTCCTTTGAAGCTGACTCGCATCGCACAGATCACTCTCTTCTGGTTGGTATCCAGCTTCTGCTTCTCAGACTCTTCTTCCAGGCAGCTGCCAACTGCAGGAGCCTGGCAACGCACGCCTGGGCTCACACATGTCCTGTCCCCAGTGCAGTATTCCACACAGTACCAGGACAAGGCTCAGCTGGAAAGTTGAATAAAAATGTAGATTGAAAGTCTACCCCAAACTTACTGAAACGGAATCTCCAGAGGAAATTTTTCTCTGTAATGGAATTACAGAAGTCTCACCCCCGCCCTCTCCCTGAGGAGTCTCATTGCAAGCCACATCCTTGTGCTGTAACGGGTTTCATGTGCACCGTGATGTGCAGGTCTGTGGCTCCACTGCAAGTGGCCCTGAAGCTCCAGTCTCTTAGACTTTATTGCCCCTCAGGAGCTCCTCCTGGGTGTGTCCTGGGCACCTCAGTCTTGTAAGCAGAACTTTGAGTTTCCCAAGTGCTGTCCCTGCCTTCCGCCTTTCCTCTGTGCACATGCAGTCTGCCTTTGAGACTTTACTGGTCCCCCGAAAACTCGGTGGCATCTGCCTCTATAACACCACCACCATGGCTTCCTCTGCCGTTTTAGCAAACCCATCTCCTGTACTGTAGTCCAGCCTGCCACCTATCTCAGGTGACTTCTGGAAGAGCCTTGGAAATGGTCAGCTGCTTCGTGTTTACCAACTGGTCTCTGCTTAGGAAGGAGCCAGTATTGTCTGTAAAAACCACCACGTGTCCCCTTCATGGAGATCCTTCCCTTACTTCCCCTTGCTTCAAATTCAGTTCAGCATCTTAAGGGCCCAGGGAGAGGAGCAGAGTGTGGAGTCCAGAGAGCCTGCCACCTACACCTCCTCTGCCACACCTGCACCTGCTCCCAGGCCATCACGGTTCCTCACTGGGCTCCATCAGGGGCCCTGATCCTTGGAACCCGGAGTGCTCCTTGGCCTGGGCCTGGCTGCTCCAGCTACGAGGCCTTCACTTCCAGGATGAGGTCCAATGACTTCCTCCTCCTCTGTCCTCCCCACTGTCCTTTCAGCTTGTCTTCTGTCCTCTGTAATACTCAGCATGTTGTGATTATTTATTTACTCTTTTCTGGAGATCAGACAACCGTGAGTAACCCTGGGTGTTTCTACCACTCTGTGCCCTCACTACCTGACAATGGGCACGTTTATTAAGAGAATTAAGTTTTAGGTTTTGTTTGCTTGTCCCAAAGGTAGGGCCAAGAACTATTCTCTAGGAGACAGAATTTGGGTGGGGTTTAAAGATTAGTGTGATATTGAAAATGTAAAGCGAGAGCTACAGCCGAGCATAGAGTTGTGATATTCAACCCCATTTTATTTCATCCCTCCTCTGCTGGGGATAGAGTGAGAGAGGGGATTCTCTAGTGGGATAGGTTGTCTGTAAATGTTTAACACTAACTGACCAGAGTTTACCTGCTTTGGTTCTGTGATTCAGTATAGATTGTTGGCACCACAAATTAAAAAAAAAAAAACTTGCATAACTAAGTTTTTCCTTTGGTATGCAAAACTGACAACATAGGCTTGACAGAACTACAGAGGTAAAATAAACATTTCTTCATATATACTCTGATTGAAGAAAGGATACAAAAACTGTTGCTTAGCACCCCTACTTGGCCATTTTGAGGCCTGTCCCTCCCCCTGGGGTTAAGTGGCCTAGGCATTTAAAAAGTCACATTATCAGATGTCAGTGTGTCGGTTTTGTGTTAAATATGGAATTAGTCAGTGTAAAAGTCAGTTTTCCCCTGTAGCAGGAGCAGTGAACCTTATGTGGAAGCCGATTCTTATGCCGCACTATGATAACCTGCTTTCATTGCTAAGCAAAAACATGTGTGAAGATCCCTTGTTATTACTACAGAGAGAAGCTTTTCTCCATTTGCATCATTGGGACCTAAAGTCATAGGATTTGTAACACTGTTTTGAAAAAATGAGTAACTGAATCCAGTGTAGAAGGACAGTGTCCTGTGGCAGATAAAAGGGTGGGAAAACAGAACTATACATTCTTGGCAAGAGTCGGGATGGTTTGTTACAACCTGCTGGACCCGGAGGAAGGCCTGGCTGGCCTCCCTTCACTGCCAGGGAATGTGATTTGAAGTTGAGGATCGTGTGTCACTCGGTGTTTTTATCATGGTGATACAGATTTGCTTGCTCAACTTTTAGATTAGTTGCTTTTGTTTCCTCCCTTCTTATCTAGCCACTTTCACCTTCCATGCTTGGCTGAGTTTGGTTAAGTGGTACAAACATTGAGTAACGTTTATTGATGTTGGCACGCAACCCACCAGCCCACAGCGAGTGGCCTTTCTCCTTGTCACCTTATCTGACACTCCTTTCACTGTAGCTGTACTATTTTTCCAGAATGAATTCTAGTGCAAAATGGAAGCCATAGTGGGTTGAATCCTCCAACTACTGTTTTTTTCGTGCTAGATGCCATGGCATGGCTGCATCTTCAGTATTGTTAGCAAGTGAAATGCTGAGTTACCAACTTGGATGGTGGCCCCTGGTGCGTCATTTACCTTTTGAACAAGGTGTGTCCAATGTTGGAAGGAAAGCCCAGCCAGGGCTGCACCGGAGTGCCAGGTATTTCAGATGGAGCTGCCGCACCAGACCTAAAGTGGTTTTTTAACCATGAAGATGAAGAATAATTAGCAGTTAATATGCCTCTACTTATTCATGTAGTAAGTTTCCATGAAAACTAACATTTTAAGCATGTGTGTCAGGACTCATGAACCTCTTGGTCTTTCAGAGATTTGTCTTTATTAGATTTGCCTTTTCTCAACAGAAACCTTTATGTGTACATTTATGTGCAACCCATATATGGCTTTTAAATACAGTCCCCATTGCCCTGGCGGCTGACGATCTCATGCTAAGCCTCTCGTAGTTATTACACAGAGAAGACTCATTTGGAGAAGGAGGAAGAAGAGGAGGAAGAACTCAGTGCCATCACTTTACACAAGTGATTGGTTTGCAGAGTTTGGTACCAGGATATTCTTTTGAGTATATATCCTTACACAGAGTACATTTTCACTGATAGTGTTATTATTCCAGTGGCAGGGAAATACCTTGGAATTATCATAATTAGCATCTAAGTCAATACTTTATATAAACTATTCTATTTTTTATATTTCATGTCTTTTTGATCATGCAAAACAGTTTTAGATTATTATATAATTTTCCTTGAGGGTGTTGTTTTGGTTGACCATTTAGTATTGATGTCCTTCCACATACTTGAAGATACCTATCTTGGTAGTTACTATAACAATAATCACAGTTATTCCAGGTCAGAAGGAAAGCACCATCGGCAGCGTGTGGCCTACAGTCTGCTGGGAAGTCTGTGGAGAAGCAAAGGGTTAAGCAAACCTTTTTGCTTTTTTGGAGGCACTCAGTTTTTTTTGTTCTCTAGTTGGGAGACTGCCGGCAGATGCGGCACAGCCACAAACCCTCCATACTGCAGCGACTCGCTCTTGCCCAGCCTGACCAGAGAGCTTGCGTTCACATATTGACACCCGATTCTTAACTCTAGGGTCGAGGGGCAAAGGTAAAGGGTCTCCCTCATTGCTTTTGATTCCATGTTTTCATGAAGACCGCCTGAACTTGCTTTAGCTGATTTAGCCATTGCAAATAAACCACAAAGGTGAGTTTAGGTATCGCATGGTGCAAGTTTTTCTGCAGTGTGTTCTCCATTCCATGCTGGGCTTCTGAAACGCACAGGAGCTGGTGTGTGCAGGGGGTGTATATACATGTGACAGGAAGTGACCACACCCTGCATGCGTGTGCTGCCCCCATCTGTCCCTCCCTTCCCTGGAGGAATTATGAGTGGCTTCTACCCTTTCTCTTACACACAGTGCTTCAGCAAACCTCATACACACCCTGTTAATGACCATCCCCAAAGCTGCCTCACTGGGCTTTGCCCAATTAATGGGCTTCTCATTGTTTTCCTGTGAGTGGGTATTAGGGTATCTCCTTGTTGCTCTTATTTGCATTTGTGATAAAGAGTGAAACTGATAATTTTTTCAAGTTGATAACTCAACTTGATAATTCAAATTGATAGTCTTTTCCTGGAAATTACCAACTAACACACTTCGCTCCAAACAGAATGCCTTATACTGCAATTTACTGTAAGGAAGGGGCAGAACTGAAACAGGATGACAGGACTTAGCTGTATCATGACATCTTCTTTCTTTAAACAGCAAAGTTAAAGATTTGGAAATTTTTCACTGATTAAGTCTGTGTGATGAGTAGCTGCTTATACTTTGTGCTTTTCATACTATTTTTAATATTTTGTAATTTATAAAAAAAAGAAATTTATGTTTTCTCACAATCCCAAGAATCAGCTTCTTTTTGCTTAGACACACTTTTGTATCGTTCTTGTTTCTTTTTGCATTGTTTCCTTAGCATCTCAAGAGTGGTAGCAATAGAGGCAGGTGGTAAGTATCCACTGTCCTGCAAAACACCCTGAAAGACAGAACCTTAAGATGGCCTTTTATAGAAAAATCATCTTCCTATGGATAGTGATTGTGATAGCACTGCTGGAAATATGATCGCCAAGGAAAATTAGTATCTGCATGTTACAGGGAAACAAACTACCTATAGCAACATCTTAGTGTTAAAAGTGTAAACCGTAACATTAAATAATAATACCACCCAATTCATAAGGAAAAAGCATACAAATAGATTTGGAAAGAATTGGAAAAGAGGAAAATTATCATTTTGTGTCAATAGAAGATGACTATGGTAGGATAATAAAGCAATAAAATACCCTGTAGAATATTGTATTTTATATGCTTTGCTAATCATGTTACCAAAACTAATTATAGATTGTCCCCATCTTATGACAGTTTGATATAACGATTATTTAAATCATGAGCTAACGTGACATTCAGCAGGAACCAGACTTCAGATTGTGAGCTCTACTCTTTCTCTGGCTGCCTGGCATTGTACTGTGCTGTCTTTTGGGAATGCAGTACCCAGCTGGCCACATGCCCAAGGATACTGGTAAGCAGCTCTCTGCAGGGCACTGGGTTCCAGTGCAGATATCACCTGAGCTGTCCAATGCTCTGTGATCAGAAAGGCTCCATGCTGGGTGGCTTTGCCCAGCTGTGTGGTAGGTAAGGTGTGGCGAGCACACTTAAGGCCAGCTAAGCTATGATGTGCGGGAGGTGAGCTGCATAACATGTTCATAATTTACTGTTTTCAAGTTCCAGTGAATTTATCAGAACATAACATCTTAATTGGAAGGGCATCTGGATATTGCTAAAAATTTTGCTCTTATATAGTATACAAGTATCTTGCTTCTCACTTTTAGAGTAGTTTTTTCCCAGATACTATCAAAAGAGGTTAACTGGTATTAGCAATATACAAAGGCAAATGTCATAAACCTACTGTCTACCTATCATACCCACCTGCTTCTACAGCATGATGTTTAATTTAGGCAAATGGGAGTGCATTGTAATAATGTTAATTATTGTGGAAACCTCTGAGACCTTAACAAGGTAATTTATATTTCATCTGTATAGGAAACTTAAGAGATTAGAGTAGAGTGATTTTTTTGAAAAGTTGAGTGGAGCTCTAGGTTTTATTTTATTGGAAATGTCTATTTGGATAGAAAGACACCTGAAGTATATTTGTCAATACTGCCAAGGCAGATTCCTTTTTTTTTTTTTTTTTTCTTTTTTGAGACAGGGTCTTGCTATGTCATTCAGACTGAACTTGAGCTCACTTTTTAGTCCAGGCTGGTCTTGAACTTGCCAGGCTCCTCCAGCCTCAGCCTCCTGAATGCTGAGATTTTTAGGCATGCACCACCATGCCAGGCTTGCAAAGGCAAATTCTAAGTGATAACCAAATGAATATTCATTCATGCATGTCCTTGAGAAATATCCAACACAGTGTATTTCTAACCATGATTTTAATCAAAACTAATCCAGTTGACTTTAGCTCTGGCCAGCACATTAAGAGGGGCAGATGAGCTATAAAAAGCTGTGTATTAGTTGTCCATTGCTGCATGAGAAACTGCCCCAAGATGTAACAGCTTAAACACATACTCATTTCTTCAAAATTTCTGAGGGTTGGGAGGAGCTTGGCTCGGTGGCTGCCACCTGGCCTGGCTCCTGAAGTTGTAATTCTTCCTCCAGTGGGAGCTCCATGCAGCTGCGGAAAGCTTGGTTCGACCCGGTTAGAAATTCTGATTCTGAGACAGCTACCAGGTGACCAGTGGCTCCAGGCCCCTGGGACTCTTTGGTGAGAGGCCTCTGCCTCTCCGCCTCTGACCTTTTGAGAAGACCCTTCACCATATCGAGTTCCCCACGGTGAGTGCTGCAGAACAGAATGAGCGGGACTGGATGAAAGCCTCAGGTAGTGAATAAACTCAGGTTGAGTCTCGTACCCTCCCGTCAGTCTTCTGCGTGTGACAAAGAACAAACCTTGCTCACTTCCACAAGAGAGGATCCGGAAGTGGGGATCCCTGAGGCCGCTTTGAAGGCTGTCGATTATCATGTATTTTCCTATAGTCAAGCAATTCACTAGGTTTTAATATTCTTATGTGAGGAGCCCATAAAATCCATCCTAGCAGTATCAACTTGCCTATAATTCATAAATTATGATGGCACAACAGTTTTACAATTTGTTAAGTAATAGTCTTTAAAAGCATATATTTATTTCATGCTTTCCATCAGCATTGAAAATAACAGTGTTGCATTTTCTTTGCATGAACTCCCTATTTCAAGAATTTTTCTTAAAATTGATCTCAAACTTCTGTGATTTTTTAGAATAAATTTTAAATTTTGAGACTTTAAGGACAAAAAACCATTTTTATTAAACAAACCTTTAATCCTATTATAAAAGAATCTGAATCTGAGTGGTTATTTATAATACTTACTCATAAAGAATAATAAACATTAAATTAAGACATTGATGCATTTTGTTTTGGTCGTTTTTTTAAGCAGGGTTTCATTATAGGTCCAGGCTGGACTTGAACTCGCATCCTCCTGCCTCAGCTTCCCAAGTGCTGGGATGACAGGTGTGTGCCACCACCTATAATGTAATGTAATGTAATGTTTATTTCTCCCAAGCCATACAGTAACAAAAACGTTACTCACTTTGGAGGTAATGTCATTCGCACCGTTCAGTGTATTTCCAATATTCTAGCAATAAATATGTTTTAAAAATTAATGTGGCTTTTGAAACTGGCATGAGGAGACATAAAAAGAAGGATTTGGTATAAAAATAAATCCCTCTTACACATTCAGCATACTTTATGAAGATCTTTCAACAGCTAAATTATAGCTTATATCTAAATCCCAGCAAAGACTCAAAACATGAATAGATGCTCTCGAATCCTCCCAGTCACTGTGTGGTGGCTCAGCTTGGGCCCCATGCCACCCTGTGCGTCAGAGCTGAGCACCACAGGTGGCTCTGGCAGCCAGGGTGGGGGCTTCGGCTGCACCCTGAGGCACAGGCCTTTCTCAGGAGAGCAGCAGGTGCCTCAGCTCGGTTCTGGCTAAGGTTTCCGTCACCCTGGAGCCTGCCTCCCAGGTCTCACACTCCTAGACCTGCATTCAGTCTCATTCTGCACACCCGTGCGCCTCTGCCTCATCCACTATAACTGACCACT